CCTCACCCTCAGCACTCCATCCTCTGTTCCTCCCCAAAGAGGAGCAGGGTGTCCAGGCTGCCAAGGTCTCAACTTGCAGAGCTGGTAATTAGCTCTTTGTGTCCGGTTAACCACCTTTCATCTCCTCCACCTGCTGGTGTCTGCTTTCCTTATTAGCATCTCTCAGCTCTTTGCTGAGCCCTCCGCCCTCTTTGTGGCCAGCCCAGCTGGTTTTTCAGAGATGATGGTTGAGGGATACACACACAGGGGAGAGCGGCTCCAACCAGAATCGCTCACATTTTCCACCCGAGGTGCCAAGCATCTCTATCCTGTCCCCACCCCAGAACAGCCAGGTTTAGGTCACCTGGCTTAGAGACAGACAGTTGATAGCTAGGCCTCCAAATCTGGGGCCTTTGGAGCTCTGGTGTTCCCTTTCAGTTCCCCTCCATGCATGAAATGGGAGCGGACTCACCAGCAACTTTCATGCCCAAGCAAAAAGCTTGTCGTTTTCAGAAGTATGTCCCCAGTCCTACATTTCTCTGCTGTGAGATCACTGATACTGGTCAAACAAGTATCCTGAGTCTTCCAGACTGCCCTATTATCATTGTTCTAATGCTTATTTATCTATCTAATAGCTAGCCACAGGTAGCTATTTAATTTTTTATTAAGTTTAAATTTGTATTTACTTAACTCATATGTAAGTTTATATTATTAAAATTCAAAATCTTAGCCACACTTCAAGTGTTTCATAGTCACCAGATGAAATAGTAGCTGCTGTATTGGGCAGTGAGTGCAGAGAAAATTTTCATTACAACAACATTCTGGTGGACAGCACTGACCTCTACAGCCACAAACCCCAGTATATTGGCATCCATCTCACAGGCTGTCTGTTCCTCCTAGATCATTCTGAAGCTCCCTTGACCTTTCAAGGGAATCTGTGTGAGTTCTCAGAATGTCAGGACCTATTGGAACTGGCAGTCGCGTGGCAAAGGATTCCTCTGCAGAAGTGTCCCCTGTGAAATTCACCAGCACCAATGCCTGCTATTCCTGCACAGCAGGATGTGCGAGACCCAGAATGTTCTTAGCGTGTGTGCATGATTGACGAGACTATTCTGTTTGTAAAGGAGGGAACTTGGTGTTATGTTCAAGCCGTCAGTCTTGGCAGCCCAGTGTGACAGCTGGACGTGGTGAGCATTGTTGGCAGAGGGAGAAAGGTGTAGTGCTGAGAGAATCACAGCTGGGATGGATTCTTCTGGACCTGCCCTGTCCTGGGCTGAGGGTAGGAAATGCCTTTCAGAGCCTCCCCATCCTTCCTTTTGACCCTCTTGGAGAAAAGCCTGTGCTGAGGATTTTCTTTTCCTTTCTGCAATCTAAGGACAAGAAGGGACTCTAAGGACTACAAGATTTAACCAGAAGCAGTTTCTTTTTGGAACAGGAGCTGTTCTTTATTCCCTTCCAGTTCCTGTGGGCAAACAGCATGCTGGGCTGGCCTGCTGCCTCAGCCCTACCTGTCATGTGCTTGGCAAGTTTAACTCGAGTTCTTTTTTTCCACTGCCTTCCCCACCCCATCAAATTGCAGTTGCAACCTCTCATTTTTCTGCTGCCTAGATGATTAAAAAGCATGACTTAGTGGAAAATGTTGACCTCTTTGGGGTCAGCCTCTTAAGCAGCTGTCGGAGATAAGATTTTGCTGGCCAAAGACTCAGCAACACTTTGCAAGGCTTTCTGTCTGTTTGCAAGGACACCATGAGGCTCTTTGGTTCTGGTGCTGTTTATTTATTTTTGGAGAGAGCTACAATTTTCAGAGGCACAAATTGGTATAATCTGATAATAAAATAAAAATCTTGGATAGAAGAGTTAGAATAATTCTTGAATGATTTTTAAGAAGCTCTATGCCACTCCCCCTCCCCCAGGCCCTTGCTTTGAGCAATTCACGGAACAAAGTTCTTTGGCAGCTAAGCAGTATTAGAAGTTCAATGTTTAGACTCCCCCCAAGGACTTAAAAGACTTAATTGTGGTGCTCTTGGTATGAAAGGCATTGTTTGGGGTTATTTTAATTGCTGTGTTAGTATTACTGCCTCTTGCTTTGAGATTGGATACTGACTGTTGTCCTTATAGAAATTGCTCCAAAGAAGATACTAGGATTTGAATTTTGTTTGTGTCCTCCGACCATCTTATCATCCCAGTATTTGTCAAGAAATTGTACCCATCTAATGAGACAAGAAGGCCACTACACTTCTCAAAAGGAGACGTTGAGGTGGGGAATTAAGAGGACTTGAAAGGGGTCACACAATTGAGGATCTGATTTCTGTGGCTCAGCCTAGTGTCCTTAAATGAACACTGTATTGATAAAAGTCCTACAGAAGTTCAGGTTCCCGTGCAGCTACTTTCTAGGGCTGTGGCCTTGTGCAAGGTACATGCCTTTGATGTACTTGTTTTTTACCTGTATAAAATAGGGATCATACCACAAATACTTTGCAGAATTATAGTGAGGATTGAGGTTCTGCTCAGCACAAACTTTGTCCGTCATCACCAACATTGTTTTAATGTTTTTTCCCTTATTCTAGGGAAAGGCCTATTTAATCCCAGCTTGTAATGAGATCAAATGCTGTCTTGCAACCCTCCTATTCTGCCATCCTTGCCCTACCTCTTGTCCCTTTTGCTCTTCCTTGACTTGAGTAATCACAATTAGCACTAGGTTTTCATGTCTACTGGTAGTGTCACCACCATAGGCTTGTGAGTTCAGAAGGTAGAGATAGGAGCCGGGGCTGTGCAGGGTCAGGTGACCATCTCATCTTCATCTCTCACAGCTGCATTTCAGGTCCTGAACTTTTAGGTCAAGTTTTCTGACTAGGAAGCTCATTTCTTGATCTGGGCTGGCAGACAGATCCTGGTACCTGGATCCTGGATCCTGTCTGGGTGCCCAGGCAGCTGAGTAGACAGTGGGCACTCAGAATCCTGCTCGCTCTAGTCAGTTTTCCATCCGTGGAATGGGAATGTTGACTCAGTAGCATCCTAGTTTATTTCTCAAAAGGCCCAGGCACTGAAAAAAAACAGACTGAAGTTGGAATCCTCGCTCTGCTATGTGACCCTCACAGTGCCAGGGTCTTGCTGCTTCTAGGGTGACAGTGAGGCTTTATCAAGGTGATGTTCACAAGAACCTTATAAACTGTAGTGTGCCTTTCACTCAGTGGGGACACCTGGTTCACTCCCAGAGCTTCTGCTTGGTAGATGCTTTGTGTCCTCACCCCTGGGAGGGGCTCAACTCCACAGGAAAAGCAAGGAATGGGCCCAAATAGCCCACCTGACCCACTCCCCACCTGGCCTGCCAGCCTGTGTGCATAGTACAGTCCAAGGGAAGAACTTCAGGGTTGGCCACACAGGAGGAGAAAGTCCAGAATGGCGGTCAGCTTCTCGGGATATCATTTCACCTGTTCAGGCCCAGCCCCTCCCTGGCTTGTTTCCTTCTGGCTGCTATTATGATACTTTTTATGAGCCCTGTTAAGTCTTTAACGATGCCTGGTCATGCAGCGGGCTTAAGGCTTAATCCCCCGCAATAGACCTTTATTGGATAAATGGTTAATAATCACTGGTCTGCAGGGATTGGGAGATTTCTTGAGGCCTGTGACTCCCAAAAGCCCCATGTGGTCTGTGACATGGTCAGAGTGTGACTTGTAGTAAGAGTGGACATACTTAGAGCACCATGGAAGTTGGGAGGGCCTGAGAATTTCTTCTACCTCCTGGGAACAGAGGACCTGTGTCTGCTGCCAGGGGTCAGTCCCCATCCTGGCAGGAACGGGCAACCTCCTAGTGTCTTTTCGAATGTGTGTCTCTACTCACTACAGTTGTTCTTTTGCCACGATCAAGCTGTATGACCTTGAGTAAATTCCCTGGACCCTCTGGACCTGGGTTTCTTGGTCTCTCAAATGAAGGCGTGGGAGGAGATGGCCTTGAAGGTGCCAAGTGTCTGTGTGGTTGAGTGATCCCTGCTTCTCTGACCAAGGTTCTTCTCTTAGGCTCTTGAGCATGTCACTGAAGGCAGTGAATGGCAAGGAACCAGCAGCCCAGAGGATTAAGTACTTAAGCTGCTGGAAAAGAATTGGGTCAGCTGTAGTCACAGGGCAGTGTGTGCAAAGGGAAACCACAGAGCCAGGTTTGGCCCTGATTTTTTAGCCTGTCTTGAGGTTTCTGCCAGCTCTGGGAAGGACACACAGTAGGCATTAGAAAATGGAGCCTCACTGGTGGGACTCTGGAAAGAGAAGTAGATTCCCCCAGGTGGAGAGCCTGCAGGAATCCAGTCATTTGCTCACAGGTAAACTAGAAAGGTACCTTGGATTTTGTTCCCAGCTGCTTTCCATCTAGATTGGGCTTTGACTTGACAGTTGTGATGGGAATAGGATCCATCTACTTGAGGGGCAGTGTGATATTGGGAGATGAGTGTGGGAGCCAAGCAAACCTGAGTTTGAGTCTCATTCACTTTCAGGCTGTCTTGGACAGCGTACTTGCCCAAGCCTGAGATTCTTTCAGATAGCCTGAACAACACCTATTTTTAGCCACATTGGTTTGAAATGATCTACGTAAGGAACCTGGTTGTCTGCTCCTACTAGGTGCCAATAATTATTCTGGCAGAAACTTGGTACCTGTTATATGCTTTGGACTGCAGGTATAAAATATTTGCCAGAAAGAAAGGCATGGCTTACTGTGATGGCATGATTTTGAATTCTTTTATCTAGAAATAGTCAATAAAACAAGAGTACAAACAGAGTTACAGCAGTCTTTAGATCCAGTGGCACTGTCCCCAAACTCTCAACTTTGGAATTAAAAGCAGAATCTGACTGAGGGACAGTTTCTCCCAGAACTTTATCCCCCGGCTCCTGCCTTTTGTCCCACAGTATCCTGAAGGCAGTGCAGAGTCCCTGGAAGATGGTTAGTGCTTCACGTGCTACATGTGTGTGTGAAAGGAAAGAGTTGCATTTTCTTTTCAATTACATACGTGAACAGGTGCTCTGCTTTTATTGCAGATCTTCCCTGACCCATCAGATTTTGATCGCTGCTGCAAACTGAAGGACCGCCTGCCCTCCATAGTTGTGGAACCCACAGAGGGAGAGGTGGAGAGCGGGGAGCTCAGGTGGCCTCCTGAGGAGTTCTTGGTTCAGGAGGATGAGCAAGACAACTGCGAAGAGACAGCGAAGGAAAACAAGGAGCAGTAGAGTCCCTGAGGGTTTGCCAGGGTCATGCCAGCCAGCATTTGTATCTGAACTGTTTTTCCCATCGTGATGGAAGAAGAGAGTGAGCCATGATTTGAAGATGTCAAATGAGGCTTTTGTACCTGCAAATCACCAAGTTGGTTTTCTTAGCTTTTCTTGTCTTTTTTTTTTTTTTTTTTTTTGAAATTCGTTGAGCAGTGGAGCCCTCTGACAACTTGCAAGGCCTTCTGAGAAAGGAAGCTGCTGAGAAAAGGGGTGGGGGTGTGGGGAAGGGGTGCTGCTTCTGAGATCAGTATCTGAAATCCAGCCACCAGGGCGGGGGTCCTGTGGGCTGAAGAGGGATGGGCAAATGAGCAGAAAAAACTTTTGGGGTAAGAAAACAAACACCTGGCAAAAGAAAAAGTACATGTTTTCAAGAAAACATTGAGCAGAGAACTGCAGCCAGGAAGTGCTCAGCCAGCATTCACTCAGGCTGCTGGGGCACCAGAAAACCAAGTTTTCATCTCGATCTCTGTCAACACCCACCACCAGCCTTTGCTTTTATTTCAGGTGTATTGGTCTATGACAGAGAAAAGGGGACAGGAGAGCAGGGGCAAGGGGTTGAGGTCAAGGCTGGCCAGAAGGATGTATCAGAAAGGAAAGTCACCCAGTCCTTCCAATGGACTCTGCCCCAGCTTTGCAGGCTCGCAGAGCCCTGGAGACATGGAGATTTTTAAGAGGCAGCGCTTTTCAGCTTTTCTTCCCTGATTTATCCTTTTTGCCTCTCAGCTCTTTGGAGAGCACTTCCTGCTCTTGCTGGAGACCCCAGTGCTGGCTCCTGAACATAAAGTTCCTACTTTCACTGTCCCCCTCCCAAGACTTGTTCTTAGAGTTCCAGGGAGCAGAGGAATGGAGTAGACATTTCTACAGAGCTACCTGTTCTCCTGTCCCAGCCATGGCAGCCAGGTGACGGTTTCCAGCCCTGCTGTGGGTCACAGCCTGCCTCACCAGCAGCAGAATCATGCCTGTGTGGGTTCTTGGCATGACTTCTTGTGAAACTGAGGCCACAGTGTGTTTCTTGGTGGAGAGGGAGCTTTTATGCAGGTCCAAGGGCTGGCACAGCCTGAACAGTATTGCATCGGGAACCCAGGCTCCCATGTAGCAGCTGTGGGATTGAATTTGAGATGCTGGCTGTCCTGAGATACCCTGCTTCTCTCCACATTGTTCCTGAACGTGGGTGGGAGGAAGGTGTGGGGAGAACAGGGGTATCCCTGCGGAATGGTGCCCCTCCCCCTTCTCCATCTCCCACTATTTCTGGCAAGGGCAGCCAGAAATAGCATGCAGAAGCCAGCCCCTGGACTTAGACCCTCTCATCATAGCTCAGAACTTTCTGGAGCAGCAGGTTGCAGGACAGACTCTTCCACCATCTCTAATTCAGAGCATGACTATGTGGCCAAGAGGTGGACTTAGAGCCTCCCTTAGGCTGCACTTGGCCATCCTAGGCACCCATGTTGTCCCCTCAGGTCTCTGCTCAGTCCAGGTTGAGCCCCAGCTTTGTTCTTGTGTGTCTAGCTGTATTTAATACCTCAAGGTCAGTGTGGCTCTGGAGCCCACTGGGGCAGGAGGATGGGGTGTGCTGTTGACACAGCAGTTGGCAGGGTTTAGTTCTGGGATGCCGACAGTCCTGTGACCCCCACCTCCTGCCTCCTCCCTCTGTTGTCTGCCTGTGATGCACACACCGATGGCAATAACTTCTTTCAGCTCCTCACCGAAGTAGGAGAGAGCTGCAGCCGGCTGAGCAAGGGGGCTTCTCTCTCTCGTTCCCCCTTCATGCCATTTTGGCTACAGAGATCTGTCCGTCCGACTTTCCTTCCCTCATGGCATTTCTCATTCCTTGCCTCCCTCTGTGGATGGGGGTCTTGCCGTTTAAATTCCTGTGTTTCAGTGTCTCCCTCTCACTCCTATGCTGGATCATTTGTCCCAGTCTTGCTGTGTGATGGGAATGTGCTTGTAAACTGAGTATCAAATCGACCTTGTGTATATGTATGTGTATGGGGGTTGTTTCTTCTTTTGCCGGTCACTAGACCACTTTGTATGACCATCTGTAGTCTGAGCAGGCCGGGGACCGACAGCTAATGTCAGGGCCCTCAGCGGTTGAGCCTGTTGGGGGGACCCAGCTGCTCTTGGACAAGTGACTGAGCTCCTGTCTGGCCTCCTCCTTTCTTTTTCTTTCTTTCTTTCTTTTTTTTTTTTTAAGTAATCTGTGTGTATTTCTAACTGATTGTATGATCGTATTG